AATTATGAAAAAAGCAATAAATCAGAATCAAGCAAATATACATCAAATATAAGAATCAATGTTATTGTTAATCAAATCAACTCTAACCAACTGAGGTTTTAATCTAGATTTAAAGGAACTCATTGTTTCAGCTGTTTTACAGTTTTCTGGAAATTTGTTCCAGATTTGTGGTGCATAGAAGCTGAATGCTGCTCTCCATGTTTGGTTCTGGTTCTGGGGATGCAGAGCAGGGCAGAACCAGAAGACCTGAATGGTCAGCAGATTGACCCAGCAGCAGCAGATCTTTAATCTGTTCAGTGATTTATAAACTACCAGCAGGATTTAAAGTCTCTTCTGTCATGCTGAGACTTTAGTCCTCTGCTCCTGGAAATGTTATGCAGCTGCTACAAGACCCACATTGTAACCATCTTTATGTAATTCTGAAGGTTCAGGTCAGAGTTCAGCCTGATCTCTAGTTTCCAGCTGTGATAATTGAAGCTGTGCATAGACTCTAGATCAGTGGTGTCCAAAGTGGGTTCTCGAGGGCCGGCATCCTGCATGTTTTAGTTCGCTCCCTGGTTTAACACACCTGCATCAAATGATGACTCGTTAGAAGGACTAAGAGGAACATTGACTTGCTGAGAGAGCTAAAACATGCAGGATGCCGGCCCTCGAGAACCCACTTTGGACACCCCTGCTCTAGATCTATAAGCCTAGATCTCTAACTTTTTTAGATTGTTGGTCCAAAAACTTCAGTTTGGTATCTGTTCAGTTGGAGAAAGTTTTGGTACATGCAGACATTTATCTGTTCTCAGCATCTGTTCAGTGATTGGATGGCTCAGAGTCACTTGGTGACATCATAATGTAGAGCTGAGTATCATCTGCAGAAGCTAAATGTCCCTCAGACCTCCAGCTGTGCGCTGCATCAGGCTAAAATAACTTTCTGTTCTTCCACCAGGTCCCTTCAGACCAGCTGACCCACTGGTACCAAACACTTTGTCCTGACTGTTTAATGACAGAACCTGGAGATGTTTTCAATGTGATGAAACTGGAGAGCTTAGTGGTGCCAGAGGTCACATAATAGTTGCTAATCTCAAACGCTAAAGGAACAGGAAGTGTGTTCAGACTGACCTGACTGTATAATCACAAAGATCCAAAGTAGAGTCCTGCAGAGAAACAAGCAGAGTTCAGTTTCACCAAGTGGGATTCAACAACCAGAACAGAACAATGATAAGGATGTTTAGAAACCACAGCTGGATTATAATCTGGTATGACAAACTCTTGGGTGTGGCTGGAATTAGATGATGACGTTCAAATCGAAAGCTAGCTCTAGCTAACAAAGCTAATAACCAGACATAGGCCAGACTTCAGGTTGAGGCCTGTAAAGTTGACTCATCAAGTTCATCAGTCATAAATCTGATCTATGGCCCAATAACAGTAGAACCGGTTCTGCTGGGTTTCTGTTGATCTTTTTCTCCTCGTTTCCAGGACACCAAACATGCTAGCTAGCATTGCGATACTTCCGTTAGTGATCTTTGACCAACATTCAAGACATTTTTAGCTTTTCTTAAACAATCAGAACAACAAACCTTGTAGAATATGACTTCATCTCTTCTCGGAGTTTGTATAAACTGAATAGACTGTTAATGTTTAACTTTTATAAAGTTATATA